TAAAGTTGGTATTTAGATCTATTAGACTGGATCTATTAGAAGATCCCTGAGGAATGAGTAAAGAGAGAAAAACAAAAAGCTGAATCTTGAGATAATACAATATAAAGTGATTAGGAAGATGAGGGCTGGGAAGGTGGCTCAGTGGTAGAGTGCTTGCCTTGCAAGCATGAGGCCCTGGGTTCAATTCCTCAGCACCACATAAGCAGAAGAAGCCAGAAGTGGTGTTGTGGCCCAAGTGGTAGAGCGCTTGCCTTATGAGGAACAGCACCCAGACATAGAGTTCAGGCCCCATGACCAATAAAAGAGAGGGAGGGGAGATTAGGAAGATAACAATTCGGCAAAAAAAAAGACTGAGAGTGGATATACCAAGAAATATACAAAGAAATCCAAGTCAATTTGCATACTCAATGCAAAGTGAAAGAATTATATCAAGAAAAAAAGCTGACTGTATCAACTGTGGTGAACAGATATCTCAAGTATGTTTAGGGAAAGAATTAACTAACAGAGTAATGAAGAGGTGAGTTTAAGAACAGCAGTTTTATGAACTATGAAAGCTTGATTGAAACTAGTTTAAGACAGAATTGGGAAAAGGTATTTGGAGTATGACAAGGTATGAAATATTTGTGTTGGAAAGGGGAAGAATATGCAAAGGTGACAGTTAATATGACTGCCTAACAAAGATTCTGCTTGAGAATGATAATGATGAATTTAAAGAAAGTCCTTATGCTAATGTCTTTTTCTCCAGCCACATTCAGCTGCTCAGGAGAGCAGAATAGGAGGAAGAATGAATTAACCAAGGTTGCTGTTTTAAAGAGGGGTACAATAAAGCAATGAGAATAAGAGCAAAGGAATATTGATTTAACCTAAGTCAAGAGGGAATAGTCAGTTGATAGTTTTTTTTTTTAAGTGACAAGATCAGTTTACTGGCAGTCTCAATATATAGCAAAGAAAGAGTGCAAGAGATACAAGTAGGGCTGGGAAGGTGGCTCAGTGGTAGAGCGCTTGCCTTGCATGCCTGAGGCCCTGAGTTCGATTCCTCAGCACCACATAAGCAAAAAGAAAAAAGCCAGAAATGGCGCTGTGGCTCAAGTGGTAGAGCGCTAGCCTTGAGCTGAAGAGCTGAGGTACAGTGCCCAGGCTCAGAGTTCGGGCCCCACGACCGGACCCAAAAAAAAAAAAAAAAAAGAGATACAAGTAGTCAGTCAGGTGATAGGATAAAGAAGGTGAAGAGAATGATGGGACCAACATCTAACACTATACATACAGTGTTACAATAAACCACTTTATTAAAATTTTTCAAAACTAGTAAAATATTTTTTTCTTACCTCTGATGAGGAAGGTCGACTTGGATTGAGTAACATTGTCTCCAGTGTCTGAATGGAATAATTACCAATTGGAATTTTGGTTGTTTTTCTCTCTCTCTTCATTTAAGTGGTATTAAACAAATGTTGTAATAGATTTTTTTTTTTACTTAAGATAGCATTCTCCTTATTTCTGACCTGTAATTTGTTCAAGAAAAGAAACATATAAAATTTTTAAAAAGACTCAGAACAAAAACTTTGGAATGTATAGAATCTTACAATAATGAAATAAAAGAACTCGGGTGAGGAGGCTGGTGATTGAAATAAAATAAACATAAATCCTAAACAAGTAATCCTCAACTTATGATAAGTGTAAAAGCAAAACCAGACTTCACTTTCACTTTTCCAGGGCTAGAAATATGATTTA